TCTCTCTGTCAAATAAATAAATAAAATCTTTAAAAAAAAAAGAAGAAGAAGAAGAAGATAGAATGCAACAGGTCGGTTTGTAAATGGGTTTAAAGGAAAATACGCAAGGAACTGAATGTAGAAAAAAAGCTGAGGACGCATCATGCCCATGGCACATCATGTCCATGTGCCTAGGGAAATAAAGGATTCTAATACTCAAGATGCTAATGAAATTACAAGAATAAATGTAAAATGTAGCACAGAAGTCAGGTTAGACATAGAGGTGACAGTGGGTCAGAGGGCCACAGTCCAAGGGTCAGAAGACCGGGTAGATGCCCAAGGTGCCAGTTGCGGGGGGGCTTGTGACAGCGGAGGTGCCTCAGGGGAAAGCGAGGGCCTGGGGGGGGGAGGGGGGCGGTGGTGGTCTCACTGAGGTTCTGCAGCACGCGGTCACGCTCCAGCTGTGTGTCTCGGATCTTGTTCTGAAGCAGAATCAGCTTCTCCTCGTACTGGTGCTTCAGAGTCTGCAGTCGCCTCTGGCTGTTCTCCAGCTCATCGATCAGCTTCTGCTTGATCTCGATCTCACACGTCAGGTCGGCCAGGTCGGCCTGGAAGTTCACCTCTGTGGGGCAGAGACAGGCTCCATCCAGTGCCAGGGGCTTAGGGCGGGAGGGGGTGCTGGGGCTTTCTGTTGGTCGGCCACGGCCAGTGACCAGAGGCTGGAGGCAATGATAAGTCCCATGGTGGGTAAGGGCCGTCAGGTGGGGTGACACATTGGAAGACTGGCCTCAGAAACTGGAGGCTGGCCCAGGATCTGGGGGGGTGGGATGTCTAGGCATCCCACCACCCCTGCTGTGCCCTAGAGGCCAAGGTCTACCTGGCATGGGACCCAGCCTAGGGGAAGGAGGGCTGTGGGTCAGAAATGGTGGCAGGGCAGGTGCCCCAATTTAGAGGAGTGGGTTTTGGCACCATTCAAGGCCCGGCTCTGCACCTACCACGCTGGGGAAAGTCACTAGACTTCTCTGGGCTTGGGGGAGCTCCGAACACCTATGCACAGGGTTGTAGTGAGAACTGAAAACCCCATGCCACGTGGAGGGTTGAGCACAGCGGTGCCTGGCATATAATGAGCGCTATCATCCTCATCACTACTCTTGTTTTTGTTGGTGGTGGTGGTGGTGTCATGTCTGGGAGTTCCAGGCACTGGACGTCCACATTCTTTGAGAATTCAAGTAAGGCCTGACCCCAGCCAAGAGGCATCTGGCTCAGGGTCTTGTAACTGGAAGGTCTGAGCAGTTTCTCTGGGCCCAGTGCTGACTGTCAGCCCACCCCGGGCACCTGCCATTTGGCGAGTCGCCTCCCCCTGCCCCAGCCTGGGCACACGCACCCTTCTCGTCAGGGTCTGAGTCCGAGTCCACCAGGCTCTCCTCACTGCCCGAGTCCTCGTCTTCATCCTCACGCCCCTCCTCCTCCTCACAGCCACTCTCGTCTCGCTCTTCCTCCTCCTGAGCACCAAGCACCATTAGGGGTGGCCAGTGGGCCCTCCTCACTCAGGCTGGGCCTGGCCTCAGGGAGGAGAGCCCAGAAGCCAAGGGAGTCTGGACAAGGCTTCAGGTGTGTCAAGAGGGTGGGCAACGGGGCAGACCACAGTCAGGGCCCTTTGTGCCCACCCCCAGTCCCGAAAGAGTACCACCTGACTCCCCCAACAGGCTGGGCAGAGCCCCTCTGGGAGAGCCTCCCTGCCCAGCCTCACCCATTTGGGATGAGGTGGGGGAACTGAGGGATGGAGACCACCACGGCAACCAGTCAGCCATGTGAGGAAGCTCAGGGACCAACTCAACTGGAGGCAGGCCTAAGCCCCTCCCCCACCCTGCCAAGGTGGTCATGGGGTTCCCTCCACTCAGCAGGGACGGTGGGGAGGGGTAAACATGTAGAGGGGAGGGGACGGGGACAGTCCCTCACCTCCTCAGCCTCATTCTCGTCGGTCTCCTCACTGTTTTCCTGTTGGAGTTTTGCCCTCTTTTTGAAGGCCTCCTTCTCTGGGCTGCCCAGGAGTGAAGGGTAGGCCAGGTTAGCTTTGAGCATGTGGCAAGGGGTGTAGGAGAGGGCAGGAGGGTGGGGCTGGGTTCCTGTTCTGCAGAGAATCTGGCTGCTCCTCTCTACCCCCAGTCTAGAATTAACCCTGGGTCATTTCCACCCTCCCTCCCCTCGGGGGAAGGTGCAGCATTAGAGAAAGGTGGGTGGCTTCTGCCCAAAAAGCTAAGCAAATGTGCTCAGTGCATTCCCAAGCAGCCCCGGGGCAGCCCCCCGCTACAGGCAGGTGGGCGGCTGTGTTCCCCGAGAGCCCGCAGAGCCGTGGGCGCACTCCGCTCACCTCTTTCTCCGCTGCCTGACCTCCTTCTTCTTGAGCCGCTCCAGGTCCTGCTTGGCCCGGCGGATCACCTCAGAGGCATCCTCCATGGAGCTGGCCGGGCTGCCCCCGAAGGCTGGAGCGCCCGGAGATGCACCCAGGGCGTAAGGGCTCCGAGCCGAGGCCCGGGAGAGGCTGCGGCGCAGGGACTCATTCATGGCCTCACTCTCCAGGAGCTTCGTCCTGCATGGGGAGAGCCAGCGGTTGGGGCCAGGGGAGCCCCGGGCTCTGGGCTCTGGCCCGGCCCAGGCCTTCCTCCACCGCTCCCAGATACGCTGGGGCGCACTCACCGCAGCTCCTCAATCTCCCGGATGTAGTTCTGGATCAGAGCACCAATGGCCTCATTGCCATCACCTGGAGAGGGAAGGCGGCAGAGGGCAATACAGAAGGTAAGGAACGTAAGGACCTGCGGCTCGGAACTGGTGCTCTTGTATTGGGGCCTCCGATAGGGTACCACACACGGGCCTTTCCCCAGAAGGAATCTACGTCGAAGAAACACCTGTCCCTGGGACGGGTATACGCAGGCACTGCTGGAAACAACCACGCTCCACTGAGGGACGGCTGCTATCAGATAGTGTGCACCATCCTCACATAGGGAATGCTGTGCAGTTTACAAGAATCAACTAGATTTCTGTGTTTTAACATGGAAAGCCCTCCAAAGCATAATGCTAAGTGAAAATGGGAAGTCACAGGACAATACATACGGTCTCATACACAGAAAAAGAAAGGGCAGTATATATTATTCACACACACACACATCTATGCGCATGTTACATATGAATATACATTCACACTTGTAGCAAAGGTACTGAGAAAGGTGTGGGGAAATGTGCACGCAGCTACGTCTAAGTAGAGAGGAAGTGGAGTGGAGAGTTTAGTGAGGGAGGATTTTAACCTTTATGCACCCATGTTAAGCAAGGAGGATGTATTCGTGTATATTTTATGGTCATAAAAAAAGGTTTAAAATCAACTGGGGGGGGCCTGGGGGGCTCAGTCAGTTAGGCATCCGACTCTTGATTTCGGCTCAGGTCATGATCTCAGGGTCGTGAGACTGAGCCCCACGTGGGCTCTGTGCTCAGTAGGGAGTCTGCTTGAGATTCTCTCTCTTCCTCTCCCTCTGCTGCTGCCCACCCCCTGCCTCTCTCTCTCGCAAATAAATAAATCTTTAAAAAAATCAATTGGGAAAAATTCATAAATGCATTGCTCTGTGAATTGATTGGCTGGCCCAGCTTGCCTAATATCCTAGGGCAGGTATGGGGAGCGGGGGTCCCGGCCTGTTGGGTGCCCGAGCTGGCCTGGTGCACCCCGACTCACCAGCCTTGGCCAGGAGCAGATTGGCTTCCTGGCTCATGAGATGAGTGACACGGTTGTTGATGGCATCGATGGCCTCCTGCATGGCCTTCACCCGCAGACGCAGTGCCCCGTTCTCCTTCTGCAGCATGGCATTCTCCCGGAACAGGTCGCTGTAGCCCTCGGCACCATCCTCCCCGATCACCCTCTTGCCCTGGGAGGAGGGGCAGGCAGGGAGCAGTCAGGGGCTAGAGCTTGCAGGGCGGGGAAGGGTTGATGATCCACCTAGCAGCACCACCAATCTCCCCGTCCCCACCCCGTGTTTCCTAAGACACAGCTCCTGTCTTCCAGGGCTCTCCTTGACAACCAGCAAGTCCAAATTCTATAACCAGCCATTCCAGCCTTCCCCAATCTCACCTTGACTTACCCTTCCACCGCCTACCTTCATATCACCATAAGTGCTGACCCAAGGGCTAAAACCCTAAGGGCCCCAGGCAGTGGCATAAATGAGTCTGAGTACAAGACAACAGGGAGCGGTGGGGACTAGAGTTAACAGAGTCACAGACTCAGTCTCAAAGGGTCAGCAACTATGCCACTCTAGACAACGTAGTGCTATATGTTGTTAGGTCTTCACATTTTTCGGGAAAAACTGAAATTCCCTGATTTTCAGAAAGGTAGGCAACTAAATTGCATTCTTTTAAAACAAAGGGCAAGCCAAACCAAAACCCGTTTGTGTACCAGATTCACACCATGGGCTACCAGCAGCCATTGACTTTTGCCTTAGTCATATGGAATTAGACACTTCCCCAAGAAGCACCCATTTTTCCCATCTCTGTTCCTATGTGCATGGCTTGATTGCATCCAAGAATGCCTGTTCCACTTGCTTTTGATGATATCTCATCCATTTTTCAAAATCTATATAAAAGGCCCCCTCCTTTGTGAGGCCTTCCCTGACTGAGCACCTGAGTGAAGAGGGCCAGCTCTGTCCTCTGTCCTGCTCCCAGGTGCACTGGACTATTCATGTGGTCCCCATCAATTATTCTTATTCTGTACCACAGTCTAGGAGTCTCATCTGGTCCAACGCAGCATAGTCAGTGGACATGAAAGCACAAGGCAGAGCATCTGTCCTGGGCATCAGAGCTATGCTGCAGAACAGCTGAGTGCCCTCCTTGCTCTTAGGTGCTAAAACCCCGGGAGCTCCGACTGTGCTCGATTCACCCAGGTGAGCCCCCTCATCATGGCCGGCACAGAGCCAATACTCAGGAAGCGGCGGGGAATGGGTGGGGAGGTGAGGGAGTGGTGGGAGGCATGCCGAAGACCTCGGGCCCACCGTGCCTGGGAGTGTGCTCACCGCCTTGTACTCCATCAGCTCCATCTGCAGGCGAGCAATCTCGGCCCGCAGGGCGCTGATCTGCTGGCTCGTCTTGTCCTGGTTCACCACCACTTTGTTCTTGATGTTGCGGGCCCGATTGGCATATTTGAGTGTGTTGAGCGTCTCCATGAAGTCCCGGTCTGAGGGGCTCACACAGGCAATCATGATGGTCTGGCTGGGGGGGTGCAGTAGGAGAGTGAGGTTCGAGGGGCACAGCCAAGCCCCCAGAAGCATCGCTCCAGGGCAGAGGCCCCTGCTCCCAACCCATTCCCCTACTGTCTTAATGGCCTAAGGACCTGGGCATTCACCAGGGCAGCACCTGGACCACCTGGCCACGGGGTTCCTTCCAACCCACAGTGAAGGCGGCTGACAGTGTGATATGTCACTGCCGGGCACAGCTCTGTATTTCCTTAGTGGTTTCTATCCATTACCCCATTTGGGCTCTATCACTTCAAGACTATCTCTCCCTGTTTTCAGACAAGGAAACAGTCTGACCATACTGGCCAAAGGTCATGCAGCATCTCGAGGCTCCTGTCTCCGAAGCCCACAGGCTGCAGTAGGAAGGCCTCCTCGCCCACAGGGCCCTCACGAATCAAACCCTCACATCAGGATTCTCCAGAAGGTTCCCTCCTCCCCTACCCCTTGTTGGCTGTAGGGTACCTGTTGCCCCCCAGCGAGTCCTGGAGAAGCCGAGTGAGCTTCGAGTCCCTGTAGGGCACGTGCACCACCTTCTTGCTCTGGTCCCCCAAGGCGCTGATCACGTTGCCCAAGGCCAACTGTGGGAGACAGACCCTGGCACTCAAGAGGCAGTCTGGGAGAGGGCAGTGGGGACAGGACAGCCCCCAGGCCATCCGTGCCTGCCTCGAGGACCCAGCAGCCCTCAAGCTCCCTGAGAAAGTTTACGTGCCGATGTGATTGTTTGGTGAAGTCAAGAAGCTGGGGGCAAGGGTGAGGGCAAAGGACCAAAGGCCTAACAACAGTGACATATGGGTGCCCTGGCCAGCAGCCAGCAAGAGGTGCAAAGAAGACGGGGCAGCCGTGGGTCTGGAGGGTCTGGAAAGGGTCTGAGACTGAGCTGTGCTGGCCACTGGGACTGGTGACCCGCCGAATGCCTACCAGGCCGCAGTTGATGGAGATGCCCTCCTTGGCCCGCTCGCCAGTGGCCCCCGTCCGCTTCAGCCGCTCTGAGCCGGCCAGGTCCACAAAGTGAAACTTAGCAGTGAGTGTCTCATACTCACTGGTGGGCGCGGTGCCCTCAGGAAGCCCAGTCACTGCCTCACTGACCTGCAGCAGAAGTTAGCAGCTGATGTATCTGGCCCTCGCCCCACCTCGCGGCTCCTCTGCTCTCAGCCCTCGACCCTCAGGAATGCTGTCTGGGGTGGGGGGGTTCGGGGCCCAGAGGCAGGGCAGGCTGCAACGCCCTCTCCTCTTGCATGTGAGAGCATCTGACCGTGTACTTGCACATGCCTGATTCTCATGCAAGCCTCACAACCACAGGGGGATGGTTACCCCCATTGTACAGGTGGGGGACTGAGGCTTAAGAAAAAAGAAAAAGAAAAATCAACAAGTGGCCAAGGCAAACCCCAAGCCCCGATTTGCTAGCTTCAGATCCATGGCTCCTTCCTCTTCTTGCCCCTCTGAGAAGCGCCCCCCACTACACCAGCTCCTGGGCCTCCGTGGGTTCCTTACTGGCTCGGGCTGAGTGCACACTCGCATCTGGCACACATGGATAGTGAAGATGGCGTGTGAGCGGGAGCTCTGCACGTTCATCTGGGTGCTGGCCGTGGTGCGGGACAGGGCCCCCTGCTTCAGGCACTGGATCAGCTGCGGAGCGAGGCAAAAGTGAGGGCAGGAGACGAGCCGTGGAGCTGGCCCCTGCCTGCCCCGGACCTCCGGTGGATGCTCACCTCCTCCTGGGAGTTGATGAGGCGGGAAGTGACGCCCGTGGTGTAGATGCCACCATTCCCATCCTCGTGGATCTTGATGTTGGACCTGCGGTGGCGGGCATCAGGGTCACGGGTGCTATCGAACAGGTCGAGGATCTCCTCATTGTAGAGCTGTGGGGTGGGGGGAACGCTGCTGGGTGCATGTGGCACATGGCGTGGGGCCCCGAGGGGCTTTCCCATGTTTATAAGCCAGCTCTGTTTTACAGAGGTGGAAACTGAGGCTCTGGGAGGCGAACTTGCTGACCCTGGTCCCCTCTGGGTTCTGGGTTCCAGGGTCTTTCTCCTAGACAGGAGTCGGAGGCAGCTGGGTCCTGGGCAGAACTATATTGAGGTTATGCTCCCACTCCCCAAAGAACCAGCATTCAGCAGTTTTCAGTCTTGTCAGGGGACTAAGGACCTAAAGGGGACAAGGGGACTCAGGTCCTAGATGTAGATGAGGAAGATAGAACCATAAATCAGGCAGATCCTATTATGTTTGTTGCTAGGCTGGGAAAGGGGGTGGGGACGTGGTTTCGGATGAGGGAGGGGACGGACAGAGCTCAGTAGAGACCGTGCCTTGACCCCCATTGTCCCTGGGGGTTGAGGTGAGGACAACCTCCCAGTAGGGGAGGAATGTGGGGATGGAGAGCATGCCACTGGGGCCCAGCATCCTGGGGAGAGCCTGGGGAGACCACTTGGGGTGAGGGGAGGTGGCCTGGCCAGGAGCAGTCACCTTATTTCACATGGTCTCAGCCTTGGAGATTCCTGTGTTTGTAATCGCTGGCAGGGAGAGCTTTACCTGCTGAAGGGCTGGGATATCCCCCAGGCAGGGAGCCGGGGCTGGGGGCCTGGGGGGTGGGGTGGGGAAAGGGACCGGGCAGCTTGGTCAGCAGCCAGCAAAATCCTGTGGGGGAGGGGCGGGCTGCGGCCCTCCGACATCCGAGGCTTTGATGCCTCAAAGGGACAGAAATACTCCACAGGAAGGGGAAGGGGAAACGGAAGGGACTGGTGCAGATGTGGGTGCCATGGTGTCTGTCTGTCTGTTGGGACAGGCGCAACGGCATCATTTAACCCCTTGTGATTCACCCTTGGGCATGAGTTTTCTAGGAACTGCCCTACTCTTTGGGGATCCCCATGGCAACAGGATAGAGAAAAGAAGAAAACAAAGAGATGGGAAAGCTTATAGAGATACACAGCAGTAGGACACACACACACACACACACACACAGAGGTAGTCACTTTATCAGAAGCAAAAGTCCAGGAGGACGAAGAAAAACTCTCAAGTCTAAAATACAGGGTCCCCTAAGGGGAAAGCAGCCACTCTGAGTACCCAGGAGGTAGTCATAGTGGTGCAGTGGGCAGGGTGGGCCATGGAAACCCTAGAGAGGGCTCGAGCCACATCCCTCCCTCAGAGGACAACCTGAGTACAGTCAGAGCCCAGGGCAGCCCCATACCCAGCAAATGACCCAGAGCCGGGGGGGTGGGGGAGGTCAATGGGTTGGGGTTTCAGATGCTGAGAACTGAAGCCACCTGGTTCAAGTGTCCTAAAGGAGGAGCCTGGTCAAGTCAGGCACTCATGAGAAGTATCTAGAACACCTGCTTTCTTAGAGACCCTTCTGAGAGGCCCCTCGATAGGCCAAAGATTCCTTCCTCTACCCGCAAAGTCCCCAGATGCCAAAAGCCTGGCTTGGCACACAGACATTCTCCCAGAGAGAGGCAGGGCCAGTTGCAAAGAAAAGCTCCTTCTGGAGGACCTCCCTCCCCTGAGGTCAGAGAAGACTAGGAGGGTCAGTAAGAACCTGGGCCAGAAAGGGACAAGGCAGACTGCTCTGAGGCTGGGGAGCAACCTGGCCAAGGCTGGAAGGATGGGCAGGAACTAGAGTTCTCACTATGTGCCAGGCACATGCTTCCATGCCATCCTCACAGCACCCACAAGGAAATAGATATTCTAGCCATCGTGCAGTGGTGACACGACATGCCCAAGGTCACACAGCTAATAAGTGTCAGAGCTGACCATCACTCAGGGTTTGAAGAGATCTTAAAGGTTCTCAGTGGCTCAAGCCCCTTCTGACACAGGAAGCCTCTTCAGAGTGTCCCACCAAGAGGTCTTCTAGCTCTTGCTTGGATATTTCCAGCAGCAGGATCCTCAGCAGCTATAGATGCTGCCATGGCTTGCCTAGGCTCATTCCACTGTCCTGGGGGTAAGCCCAACCTCCATGGTCTTGCTGTCCCCCAAATCTCCCTCCCGCCCCCACTACGAGGCCACAGTACCTCCAGGAACTGCGCGCTGACTTTGAACTCAGGCCCGGCCACACCCCGCTCCTGTGCCCGCCGCTTGCGCTCTGCAATGCCCCCAAAGAGGTGTGCAATGGCCCTCGGGATGATGCCCTGCTCCTCCTCCGATGTCGCCGTGTCGAAGCCGGTGCCCATCGTGTATGTCTTCCCGGCCCCTGTCTGCATCAGCAAGGGTGGAATGAGGGTGTTAGCACCCTCGGGGGGCCACCAGCAAGCCCGGGGACCCCTGGCCAGGCGGACTTCCCTTACCACGTACCCAGGTCACCGGCCCCTCCTGGTCCCCAAGCCACACCCTGAGGGAGTCTCCTCGGAGTGACAGCCTCCCTCCAGCGTGGCAGCATGCTGGGACAATAGACAAAACTGCAGCTCCATCTCCACCGGTCTGAAGGGGGAGGGGGTGCTCTCTCCCACCAGCTGGGGAGACCAGAGTTGGAGGGGCCACGGGTGGGAGTGCAGGCGGCTTACCTGCCCATAGGCCAGCACTGTGGCATTGTAGCCCTCGAAGCAGCCCTCGATGAGCTTGCTCACACAGGTCGAATAGATCTGTTCCTGCCAGGTGTCCAGGTCGAAGACAAAGTCATAGGTGAAGGCCTTGTCCTTCCCCAGAAGGACCTGGGGCTCCCCGGGGGTGACAGAGGTGCAGATGTGACAGCCCTCAATCTTCTCCTTTGACAGCTGGGGCCGAATCCTGCTCAGGAAGTGGGGAGAGCCCTGGGTCAGACCCAGCCGGTGGGGGACTGCGGTGCCCTCCTCCCTCACGCTGCCTGCCATGCTTCCACTTCCCCAGGCCCCCTCCAGCCCCCAGAAGCTGGAAGAGAAGGAAGGAAGCTCAGGAGCCTCCCCAGAGGACCAAGGCAACTTTTATAACAATACAGTAATACTAATCGTAAGAATAATATCCACTCCACCCAAACATTTATTGAGCGGTTGCTAACATTTATCAAGTACTCTACGTATGGGATCCAGGTTAAAAGTATTTTACATAAATGAATTCATGTATTCTTCACTATAAATCTGTGAGGTACATACTATTTGCCTATCTTTACAGATGAGAAAATGGAGGCTGACAGAGTTTAAGTGACTTGCCCAAGATTGTACGGGACGGGGGTGGGTAGGGGGCGTGACAGAACAAACCTCTGGTCTGACGTCAGAGCGCATACTCCTGATTGAAAGGGGAGCCCTAGATATCAGTGTCCCACAGATCAGGAAGAGAAGACAGCTTGCCCCCTTCTGGGAGGTAAGGCTCAGCACCAGGGTGGGGAGGGACAGGCCTGGCTGCCCCCCAACCCCGGAATGAATTAAAGAGCAGACCCCATCTTCTGCCAAGGCCTGCAGGGGCTGCAAGAGTCCTCCAGCTGCAGAGCCCCCTCTCGGATGCCAGAGCCTGGCAGAACATTCTCAGGTACCAGACCAAGCACGACCCCGCCAGACCAGGCCAAGGCAAAAGTCGGCTGAGAAGGGCAGGACCCTCTACAAGGGACACCAGGCCGGCCACAGGAGGGGCCCAATCCCAGCTCCTGCTGGGCTCCCTTACGAGAGGAAGAAAAGTGGCACCAGGGCTGAGTGGGAGCCAGCCATAAATAGGGCTATCTCCATCCAGCCACCTCTTCTCCCTCCTCTAAGCAGCCATTGCCATGACAAGGTCCCCATGGCAACCAAGTGTGAGTCAGTGAGCATGCGCTGTACAGACAGGCAGAAAAGCACTTCCCAAATGCCTAAAGCGAAAGGGGGTGGGGGTGGGTTAGGCACTAATGCTCCTGGGCTCACACAAGCCAGCCCTATCAGCCAGGCGATCACAATGAGCTGCTTGTCAGGCTCCCTTTCCCAAAGCCAACATTTACCAAGAGAAGAAAAGAGTGAGAGGGCCAGGCCAGCATGCATCCAGGGCGGAGGGGGACCTCGCCACAGAGGCAGGGCCACCAAGTCGCCATCCTGTCCCTGTCTGGGGCTGCCCCAGCCCCCAAGGCCCACTCAGAGCTTCAAGCCAGGGGAGGTGCTCCCCTCAGCCTGTTGCCTGCACTTTGCTGCAAGAGGGTCACAGGGGACTGGGGAGGGGGGTAAGTGCCAGGGGAGCATTTTGGGGGGAGTTAGCTGCACCAGGCCAAGTCCACACCATAGATGGTAGCCTGGGTTTTCTCCAGAAGTGTTTTCCCTTCGGTGTCAACAGGTCCTCACAGGTCAGTGGCTCTCCCCTCACTGAGGCTGACAGGAATGGAGGATTACCACCTTCATCCACACTATCCAGCTGTTCCATGTCAAGTTGAAATTAGAACCCAGCCTCTCGGTGTCCCCCCTGAACTGGTTTCTGACTGGGAAGGGAGCAGCTGATTCCTGCTTGTCCTCTCCAGAACCTGCAGACCAGAAACTTGACCCACCAGTAAGAGGTCTGGGCCAGCAGTTCCCCTACCTCGACCACTGATAGTGACAACTGACACAAATTCGCACTCGCTACGTACCCGGGGGGTCTACGCACTGACATATACTAACTCTTGATTCTCAAGAGAACACCTGCGGTGAATACTACTACTCCGGTTTGTAGGGGAGGAAATGAGATGGTGCCCAGCCAGCCGTAGATAGTGAGGGGCAGAGTGGGGCTCGAACAGTGTGTGTGCACTGCCTCTCAACTATTTCTGTGCTACCGTGTCCCTATAGGCAGGGCTCAGGGGGCCGGGGGGAAGAAACGGCTCATGACACAGGGAGCCCCAGCCGCAACTCCAGAGGAGGGGGCATGGCACGGCACACAGGCACCAGGTAGGAAGCAGGAGCTCTGGCCCTCAGAGCTGGCTCTGCCCCTGGGCCTCTGGGACCCAGGACCAAACACTTACTGCCCAGGGCCATCCAGGGGCTCCCAGGTGAACCAAGGGTCTGGCCTGGGCAGCCTCTGAGGAGCTTCCAGCATTGCTGGCTACCACCAACTCCGGAAGACACCCTCCCTACCATGTGGGCTGCTTGTGATAGGATTTCTGGATCCAGTTCAAATACCATTTAATTACCCCAGGCAGATGGCAGTGCTGGTGATTGGAGGAAATCGAATCAGGGTCCCTGGAGACAGTGGGAGCAGGGGAGGGGGAGCAGAAGCCCTGCCTGGCAGAGCCCATCCGGGAGAGGGGATGCTTCTCCTTCAACAACCAGCCCCAAGAACACGGCGGAGCCCACCTGCCAGGAATAGGAGAGCTGGCAGAAGAGCAGTCTGGGCAAGGGGATGGAGAAGAGGGGCTCCAGAGTTTTAGGGTCCAGGAATTATGGAATCAGTCAGGCATTCACCCTGCGGCGCTCATCCTGGAACGTGAGGCCCAGCACATCTTGATGCGGGGGTCTCTGTGGTCAGAGAGAGCCAGCCAGCCCCAGGCTGGCCCATCTGAAGCACCAGGGAGCTTTGCAGGGTACAGATGGGTGAGCAATGTTACCCAGAGAAAAGGGTACCCGCTGGGAGACAGAGGACATGGGCTCAGGAAGAGTCACTAATTCCCAAAGCAACTGACCTGGACGAGGGAGAGTGTTGGTCCCAGGAATGGGACTTGATTGAGTAACCGGAGGTAGAAGAAAAAGAGAATTAAGATTTTATGTGTGCTTTCCATGTGCTAGCTGGGCCAGGCACCCGCTACAGACTACCTCACTTAAGTGATGCAATGAGCTCAGGATTTCCATGCCCATTTTCCAGAGAGGAAAGTTGAGGCTTGAAGTAGTTAAAGTCAGACACACACAGTAAATACAGGGAAGATGGGCATCAACTGCTCTGCCTGACTATGAAACCTACAGGCTCTTCTGCTTCTCCAGCGACCTCCTGCCTGGGAAACTCTCCATCCCCACATGGATAGATAAGCTTTCTCCCACAGCACCTCCATCAGGGCCAGGGAGGCACTCCGGAAGGAACGCTGCTCCATCTGTTCAGGGCTGGCCATCCAGCAGGGGCAGACATCGTGTCCCAGCTCTCCTGGGGCTCCCTCCTCACCACACCCTGCCCAGCAGAGCATTCACACCTGCACCCCACAGGGAGGAGACCAGAGGGCTGGGAGATCAAGTCCGGGGTCCTGGACCAGCCCCTGCCCCCACCCTCTTCTGGTTCAGGAGCCACGCTTGCTTTCTCCTGGGTTCTCTAGATGATCTCCTCCCAGTTTTAACTTTCTAAGAACGCCTTCACCTTCCCCTCCAGCAGCCTCCTCCCCGGCCCCACCCTGGGTGAGGTCACTTCTGTGGGCTGCCCTCAAAGCAGCAGTGGCCTCAGCCAGCCCCAACCCGCCCCAGATAACGGGATAAGGGGAAGGCAGCTGCTTCCCGTTAAAGCAGGGTGGCAGGGGTGGGAGCCACTCACAGACCTCGTCCTTCCTGGGGGGCATGGGGGGGGGGATCAGGGATGGAAACCAGTTTCTAGGGTCTTGCAAGTCCCAGGAGCCGTGGACCAGATCCAGGACTAGGATGAAGTGAGGTATTTGCCACAAGTGCAAAACTTAACGGGGTATGAAAAAAACTCAGTAATGAAGATAAATTATAATTTAATGCAATATTTGAAAAGCTCAGATCAGCAAACTATGGCCCTGCGGGCCAGCTGCATTTCATCGATAGTTTTGTGGACAACACATCCAGTATCATTTCTGTCCAGGGACCTCCTGACTCTCACCCCAAGCCCCACGCCTGCAAAGCGCCCTCCATCCCTTCCCAAGGTCCGGGCCGGGAGGGAAGGGGGCGGGCCGGACAGCCCCGCGCAGAAACGCTCCCGGAATCTCCCCGAACAGAGCCCGGTCTATTTGCCACTTGGCACCCCGCAGCCCCGAGCGGCGGTGGGAGCGGGCGCGAGAGCGAGAAAGGGCCCAGGGCTTTTCAGAGGCAGGATCTGGCACCGGCGCGCGGCCGCTGAGCTTCCTCTGCTCACAATTGAGTGGGAGCTGGTGTGATGTGGGTAGTTATTTTCATATCCCTCCCCCACCGCCGGGGAAGCGGGCACCCGGGCCGAGCGACGCGCAGGCGGCTCGGGCCCGGCCCCCCACCCG